CCTCATGGCCCTGTCACCGGCTCGTGTTGCCCCCAGGCAGCGGCCCCTGTTGCGCTCCCGACGGCCGTTACAGGAGGCTCCCAGTATCTCCTTGGGGTTACTCCTCCCGTGTTAAGTCACGTGCGTCTTCCAGGGAAGAGTGTCATTCCGGAACAGCTTCGGGTGTTTCCAGCACACTCCCATGTCTTTCCAGTCGGATTTGCTGCGGCCAGGCTGAGTTGGTTGCGCTCAGGGAAAGCTTTTCTGTGTAAATACTCCCAACTCTCCATTCACGTCTTCCTAAAGCCCTTTTTCTCCATCCTTCCCTCAAACCCTTCCAGCACCTCACTTTACCTGCCCGTTTCGGAGGCGTGCGCGCCCCTTCAGAAGGGCTGACTAGCGCGTCTTGCACAGCCTTTCCCTCCGAGATGTCTGCTCAAAAACAGCCACTCGTAGTTTATGTTCCCCTACAATTAACCAAAGTACTAGTGACTAAACATAGCCCTTCTTGCTCTCTTTAAGGGCAAAGCCACGTCTGCCATAATATTACTTAACACCTTAGCTAGCCCAAATGATATTTTGTCCAGTCTAGGCCTTTGGGATCTACCGCATGTTGAAAACTTCATTTGGGAATAGCTGACATGGAAAATAGTTTCCAAGTCTCTGAGTGCTGAAAGGCTGTGCACCTCCCGGGTGTCGTGTGAACTCTTTCTGCTCTGAGTGCCCTTAAAGAGGTGGCAGGGAGGGATTTGTGTGACTGCCTGTGGCCATCCCGGGGGTCAGCTGGTGGCACAAGAGAGCCATGATCCACTGAGGCTTTTCCCAACTTCTCCAATAGCAGAGATCTTTTTCCCAACAGACTCCTCCTATCTCCTGCGGTCACCCAATACGGACAGTTTTTGTTTTGTTGCCCCTTGCAAATGTGCAAAGACTATCTGGTGGATATACATTTGCCTTTGGGATGTTTGGATAACCGGATGGCAATGTGGTGTACCTGAGCTCATTTTGCTCAGTGAACTTTTATGGGTCCATAGGTCCATTAGTCCGTGATCTGACAGGGAACTGCAGAGCAGAGCTGGAAACAAGGTAAAAAATAATGGAAAATATCCCTCTATTTTTGCATGAAGACCACTTTGTGCAACTTCACTAAGCAGGGCAGTGTTGCCTCTCTGCCATAACCTGCGTTTAGGCCCAAAAGTGAACGTACTACAACCAAAAAGGCACCCTGCAGCACTTGGCACCAACAGTGCATGTCACAGCCTGCAGTGACAAAGCCCAATGGCAAGAGAGTTTCTTTATAGCAGCAGCATGGCCGTAAAAGAGACATGTAAGAAAGCAACTGTAGGAAGCACCTCCTTATGCACCTGCTGGATGTGATGGAGCTTCAGCCTCCAGTGCAGTGAAGAAGAGGAGCATTGGAGATGTCCTTCCCGTTGCTGTTGCACAGGGCTTCAAACGTTATGTACAGAATGGGCAGAAGCAGCCATGGCAGAGTACACAGGGATGGTGTTGGAGTCATGTCCACGCTGGGGAAGCAGCTCTGGCCAGCTGGAGATGAGGCCTCCACGTGGAGGCTTTTACCTTGCCTCTGACTGTGAGTGGCCAAGATGGATGGGAGGAGAAGCAGCAGTAACTGGATATTTTCCCTGTTCATGATGTCTGTGATACAGCTGCTTGCGCCAGCGAAGAGGCTTTTATTTTCTGTTGGGTTGGGAGGTCTGGCACACATGGGCAGAAGGATGTAACACTACGTGCACACTGCATACAGGGGCACCGCGAGCCATGAGCATGGGTGGTAAAAGGATCGAGAAAGACCAATAGGGTCCTCACGTCCTTGTGATGTTGAGAATGGCTGATTTGTGTGGACAGGTAGGAGCAAAACTGAGGAGACTTTTGCTTTGCAATGACAACAACAGAGAAAGCTACATCACAACATGTTCTCTTACATAGTTCTGCTAAGGCTTTCTGTCTCTAAAGCACTTTCTGCCTTCTCAGGGCTGGCCCCCATACAGCTCTGTCAGCAAACATCAGGCTTAGCTCGAATCATCCCAAGCGCTTCCCTTGCTGGGATTTCTTTCATCCCTAACCCCCTACACCTCCTGTTACTCATGCTCCCTCAGTCCCACACCATGGCAGCCTCCATGTGCATGTTAAATGCAACCTACTGCTCTTCTGGAAGTGACATTCCCTGCCAAGCATGTGACAGGCATCTGCCAGGAGACAGGCAGGGGCTGTCAGCCGCTGTGGTGTCTGCCAGGAGGGGCTGAGCCCCGTCTTGCCTCCTGCCTGCTGTGCAGTCAGCCCTGGGGCTTTCTGCCTGGCTCAGCTACACACAGGAAAGAGCTGGCATTGCTCTTTTGCCAGAGATGCCTCTGGATTAAGATGCCTCAGATTAAGATGCATCAGATGAAGAAAACTAAAGGTGCTCTGGGTGACAGCACTGACTTGTGACTTGGCGTCTGTACGAACAGGGAAATCAGCTCCTTAAAAAGAGATGTGAGGCCCCCTCCGTGCTGCTGGGCGAGGAGCTCTCTGCCCCAGCAGCATTGCAAACACATGTGGTGGCAGCTGAGCCCCAGGGAGGACGGGGAGCCCCAGTCCACAGGAACCTGGGGCAAAAGCGGGAAAGTGCCTTTCTACATAACTAAATTCAGCGATGTCTCTTCATCCTTATCGTACATAGTTTTCACCTCCCTGCAGCCCAGCTCAGTGAAGCCCTTGCTGTCAGCCTGAGAGGGCATGTGCTGCTCTTCCTTGCTCCTGTCTGAATACTCAGACCTGCCCCAGGCTGGCCAGAGGAAAGAGGGAACAGACTAGGCCAGGTGCATTTGCCTTTCCTGAAAACAATGTCTTTTACAGTATGAAAATGAATCCAACCTGACCTGCAGCCACCAGCTAAACGTGACAATAAAAACTTCAGTAAAGCTTCTGCTCCACAGTCTGCTGGGTCTTTCCCTTCACTCCTAGTCCCCTTCATGGGAACATAAAACAGCAGCTTCTAAACATGGCACAAAAACACAGCATGTGAGAGCTGCTGAAGAGACAAGGAGGCAGAAGGAAGAAAGAACTTGGAGAAGAGGAATACCTGGGGAAAATGAAAGAGGGAAAAAAAGGGCAGAGACAGAGAAAGTAAAAGTGAAAGAAATGAAATAAGGAAGATATGGAGCGGTAAAGCGGAATGAGAAGAAAAATTATAGAGGACATAGAAGCTGGGAGGGCAGTTAGAGGGCCAGGGGGCCAGCACAGACTAAGACTGCTGGAGTAGCACATGTTTTAGCGAAGAGAAGGGTTTTCTTGTGTTCTCACCACCAGTGCAGACCAAAGGAGACCCTGGTCCAGTGCGCCACCCTCAGTGACTCTCTCAGACTCCTCTGAGAGCCTGAAGGCCACGTGCTGAGCGGAGCGGCCCCGAGGAGTCCCCAGCCAGCCCTGTCTGACACAGTGTTCCCTGCGCCCCTCAGCAACGGGACGCTGCTGCAGGGAAAAGGTATGGCCAGGACCGCTCGGTGCTGGTGAGGAGAGGCCGAAGAGACTGCTGCAGCCAGGCGTGAGGTAGGGGAGCCTCAGGGCATGACATCCTCTGCTGCACAAACACATTCTCCTCCTCCTGGTTTTGGTTTTTTACCCCCTCTTTTTTTTTTTTTTAATAGTACCCAATTCCCCCAAGTACCTTGACTCAAGTACTTTGATGCTTCTCAAATAGATGCTAAGGCCTAAGACCCGATTCTGTGTCTCCCATCAGTCACTGCCTGCACCTCAGAACATGTTAGTATGTCACTTCCCCCATCCAGCCACTTCCACATTTCTGTTTCCCTCGGGGAAGCCACAGCAAGAAATGGGGATAAAATACTGCCCTCCTCCAGACCAGCTACTGCCTTCCCAGCCCCAAAGGCCCATCAGAAAGCTCTGCGGCCCTCACTGGAAGACGCTGCCTGCACTGACTCCACCATCTATCCTTGGAGTCTCTTGCTGCATTGCTACGGGATAAAGACAGGACCACAGCCTACCCCATACCTCCCACCACCAAGAGCCCTCGAGCCCCCAAATAACCCCCCAGCACTATTTCCCCTAAGCAAAACACACATCTGAGCCACAGAACATGAGAAAAAGGAAGATGACACACAGTCTGCAGTGCAAAAGACAAATCAAAAAGGAGGACACACCAGGAGGGAGAGAGGAGATGCCTTTGGTCCATCCCTGGCACACAGGTACACACACGCACACGCTCGCACACATCCTCTCTCACACACAGAGGAGGTGCCACATGCTCCAGAGACAGGCCCATGGCAGACTCAAGGGCAGCAGAGACAGGGGGTGGCAGGAGGGAGGGGTCATTCACAGGTTACTTTCATGGCTTTCCTCTGTCTCGGCGGTCATGGGGGGCAGCCCTCCGTTGTCATTCAGCCGCTTGGCCCTGTAGGTCTCGTAGTGGATGTTGTGGGTCACTTCTTTTAGGTCTTGAAGGTGGGTCCTGCAGAAGACAAAATGGAGACGCGGTTGCAAAGAGGATACAACAACTAACATCAGCACTGTCAGGGCTAGTGTTCTGAGGATCCTTTTACTCCCCAAGATAAATGGAAGATTCCTCCAGTTAGTCTGGCTCATGAACATCCCTGCTCTTATTGTACAACTGTTATAGCACAACTGATAGCTGGAGCATCATCATTCAAGAGAATGCACACACAGGATGTAGGGCATTGGCTGAAACTCCCTTTTCTGTTCAGTAATGTCATGCCCCTCTCAAACCAGTGCCAATGGGGATATTTACTGGCCTTTCTGGTGTGCAGGAGCAGACAATGACTCATCTCTTCTCACATCCTGCTTCCATCAGAGTTGAGATGATGATGTGGATTAAGTCTACTGGAGATCATAACCTGCCATGAGCAGTAGTCTCTAACCTCCTTAAAAAGCCTGTGGGCTTGGTTTGTTTTTCGTTTTGTGACTATTGTTTGGTTGGGATGTTTCTAGTAGAAGATTTGGGGAAAGCACAACAGCTGTGGTAAGTACCACTGTTAAGAACTTGTCCTGAGCACAAAAGGAGGATATTAGGGTGATGTCAGAGCTCTCTGCCTGGCCAAGTGTCTTATTACCACCATACTCACAGCTGTTATGAGTCACAGAGCGATGGCTTTATAATGTATTTCCTAATGTATACATTGCTAATGTATATCCCCCCCTTTTTTTTTAGTTAATTTTGAAACCCTGGCTCTTTGTAAATCTTCTACAGAATTCAGGGCTGATATAATTTGTGCTGAGATAGTGTCATAAGACAGGGTGTGAATAAGACAGGGCAATGAAAGCTGAATAAAATATGGAGCTTTCACTTCTGGATCATATGTTCGAGGCCATTCCTCACAACTGGTAGGTCACAGGGCCTAGGACTGGGTAGGAGCCTCTTTCTCACTGATTCCAATCTCATTCCATGTTTGAACAACTGGAACAACTAGAAGCTGTTGCTAGCTAATACGCTTAATGGGATGGCATGGGGTGCTGGCGCTTACCCTCTTTTTCCTCAAAGCATCCACCTCATACATGCAAACTAGTGCTAGATACACATCATTAAGAGAAACACTAGAACATTCTACCCCTTAATTTGGTCCAAACTATCCTTTGGAATATCCGCAAAAACTTTCACTGCCTGGAATGTGGTTTTTCTTCCCTCCCATGGGGGCTATTTCACTTTATTGGGGCAGTCTCAGGAAGGTTTCCTTCTCACCAAGAAAAAATTGGAGCATGATCATAGCCTCACCTGATGACGAAGTCTCGAAGTAGGGCAAATTCGCAGTGAGTGAGGTTTTCCACTGGAAAGAAAGAAAGTAGTTGTGAAAGTAGTTTTATTTTCTTAATAAAAGAAAATAAAATTCTTTAAAATAAAGAAAAAGAAAAGAAAATTCTTCTCTTCTTTGTGGTTACAGAACATGGGAAGGTCATTACTGTGAGACACATTCCTGGTGGGCAGAGCCTGCATGCTTCAGAAAGGGCAGACAGTTGTGTGGACACCACTCTCAAGCACTGCGTGGACACACTGAGCAGTCATATGTGAACTTTCCCTTGAAAATCAAGGAAGCCTCAGGAAATCAGCTTTGTCCTGGTGTTGTTCAGCTTGTTCCAGCTTCAGCCAGTCAGCAGTACTGCAGTGGCCATGGCAGTTCCTTACAAACACAGCTATCTGAAATTTCTTCTTTTCCTTGGTTTTACAAAGCTTATCACAAAAGCCATGGGAATGTAGCAATGGGAAACACATTTGGACCTTGGCCTATTACTGGGGCCTGCAGAGATGCTTTAGTGCCCCCGAAGCAAGACTTTCTTTACCTTCGATGATCCCCCAAGGTGTTTTTCTGCCCAGGACTCTTTTGCCGTTCACCTGGTATTCCTTGTCGCTGCCCACCACTGCGAAGGGCATGCTCTCCTGCTGGGGAGAGACACAAGGTGAGACCTGTTGAGCCCATTGCAGTGAGCAGCAGCGTCACCGTTCCCCGGTGCTCAGCTCACCAAGCACAAAGCCGCCTGCAAAGTAACAACTTTTCCAGAGCAACACTTTAATTGGCTGTCCCCTTCACCCGTCAGTGCTATCGCTGGCATTTCGAGCCCTTACTTTACAGGTGTCCTTGCCCAGCCAGAGCTCAGCATGCAGCTGGCAGCAGTGCCAAGGGTTCTGGAGAACGGGGCAGAGGTTTTCTGCACACATCCTCAGCATTTCTTAAGGGGAGGATGTGACCGGAAGGTGATTTCTTGGTGTAACCAGGGGAAGGTCTGTTGGCTGAAGACTCCTCATAGGGATAGTTTGCAGTGAGCAAACTGCGTTTCACCAAACAGTTTGTAATCCCTAACCAGAAGGAGAGGATGCAAAATAATGTAAAATAATCTCCCCCAACAGGATACATGAATGTCCAAAATCTAACATCTGAAATAGTTGGTACTCCAAAAGGCCAGGAATGGGATGGGGTGCTCGGACAGTAGATGAGGCTATCAGGGAACATAAAGTCTCTAGAAGACTGAGAGAAAGCACCTGTCCCCAGGTGCAGGAGACCCTAGTATGTCCAAAAGGTTCACAGACTTGCTAAGTTTTATAGATAACCCTGGGCCCAGAAAGGAACTTCAATTATCACAGAATGGAGTGGGTTTTTTTTTTATTGTTTTTAAAGGTGATTCTTACATTTGAAACTACCAACTTAAGACCATGGGGCTGAAATGCAGAACAAAATGTGTAGAATAGTCAAACCCATCTGGTCTTCCCAAGAATATGTGTTGTGTTGCCATATGGGAAACGATTAATTAAGCTGGGGAACATGGGAATTTCTGATGGGATGTGACAGCACAGGGAGCTGAAAGGACTAGTGTCAGGCTGCAAGGCTGCGGAGTTTCTTGAAGACTGTCACGGAAGCCAATGTGGTTTCACTAATGCCTTGCCACAGCAATGAGGAGTGGGATAATTAAATGCACTAACATCAGAGAGCCAGGCGGTGTTGTCGGCACAGAGGCAGGGTGGGTTGTTATCCAGGAAGATGTGCAGAAAGTTGCGGCACCAAGGGAAGCATTTAGGAAGCATCAGTGAGATTTTCTGCTGGAGTTTGGGAGCTCATGAACAAGCAAGCACTGAAGGAGGGGAGGGACAGCATGTGCTAGTCGGTCACAAGATGCCCACAAGGCAGTGATGTGATCATTAGTTTAAAAAACACATGTGGTCCAAGGGCTTATAGTTCAGATCTCTCCACAGAGCACAGAGTATCCATATCAGAAAACTCTGCCAGGAAATCAAGTCAAATTGGAACAAGTCCAGAAAAATAAGCGAGGAGGATGGAGTATTGAGAAATTGGAAGTCCATTCTAGGGAGCTTGTCTGGTTTAGCTGATCAGAAAGCCAGCAGAGGATAATGTGGTTCTCTACAAATGCCTGAGCAGTGGAAGGAATCACTAGGCAGGAGAACTGCTCGAGTCAGTATTGCTGCAAGAACACAGACATAACCCTAGGTACAACGTGATCATGAACAAACACAGGCTGCAAATTACTGTGATTGGATGAGCCTTTTCACAAGGACTAGGAGCACAACAAACCAGACTACTTTCAGAGAGGTTTTGATCAGTGGATGAAAGTGCTTATGGGGCAGTTGCCTGGGACAGTCAGAGGCTGGGCATCAGCTGCATACTAGGTCTCTTTAATCCTTAACATAGACCAAATAAAGTGTTCAGCAAGAGAAGATGAAGAATAGTCCTTCCTCACTCAGCCTTTAGAGCACTCTGTGATAATGACAGGGATGAATTAAACTGAATGAAGGCCCTGGATGAAGGACCATCCCTTACATTTATTGAATTTTTCACCCAGGTACCATAAAGCACTTTAAAGCTTCTAGTGACTTTGTGTTTCATTCACACTCATTAAATTTGACCAGTCTTTGCCCCTTGCCCTTCTGCTCCCATGATGAAGTGTTTCCTACCCTGATTTTGTCGTTCTCTGTTTTATCCTCCAGGTCCTCATCAAATTCTTTCTGGGGGTAAAACTCGATGCCATTTACTTCTAGCTCTTTGCGCACCTGAGCAGAGAGAACATTTTGAAGCAAAGAGCCACACAAGCTTGAAGGGAAGGCAGGCAGGACAGTTGGGCAAACATGCTTGGCACATTCTTCCAGAGGGGAAAGGTTGGAGGGGCTGTTTGCAGGGAAGTGTGTGGCAAGGTGAGAGCTTGAGCCGGGGTGGGGAAGGGTCCCCTGCAAAGGACGAGATACTCACTCTTTGTTTGAATTCAGTCTTCTCCTCCAAAGTCATGGTGTCAGCCTTGGCAATAACAGGGATGATGTTCACTACCTTGCTGAGATGTTTCATGAACTCCAGGTCTAAAGGCCTCAGGCTGCAGCCAGGGAGGGAGCAACATGAAAGGGATCATTTTACCCTCCCCATCTGTCACATGAATGATCCTCCCAAGCATCAGTGCATCGAGTAAACCTTGCTTGGTCATTCTCTGCTTGTTGCCGCCATAATCTCTTCTCCTCCCTTGTTATCTAGACCTGTTTCAAGTCCCAGATGCCCCAAATGTGGTCTGCCCCACAGGCAGGATCCCTGGTCCCATGGCTGGCACAGAGCAGTGTAGAGTATTTATCTGACACAGCAGCACTATGGGCTTGAGAAAGGAAGGGGTTGTATACGTACGAGTGGCCTGTGGGGGAGATGAAGTAGAGGCAGCAGTGCACTCGTGTGTCTGGAATTCGTTTCTTCCTTGCAATATTCACTTCCTCTTTCAAAAACTTTTCGTATTGCTCATTGATGTATTTCTCAATAGGTTCCCAGCTGTTACAGTGGGAGAGACAGATGAATAGACAGGTACAAATCTCCTCATGTTCCTGCCTACAGTGTTCCCAGCTCTGACAGCAGTAAAGCAGGCTCTGGGGTAAGAAAAAATCCTGCACTAACACCTCACCATCAGTGCAGATGTTTAAGAGTTCCTGTAGCTGAGATCAGGGTTTTTTGCAAAACCGCTGTTGAAATTAGTGAATAAATCATTGGAAGGGGAAAAGAAAGAGCCATTAGTGGCATGGTAAGGGCCTTCTGAAAGCTGCTCTTTGAGAGAAATACAGGGAAAAATGGAATTGGTTCAGGATGGGCAAAATAACTTGAATCTGCTAAATTTCAGGTAAAGGACTATATGAAGAATTTGGATGAACTGTCAGCCTGGGAAGGAGACTACATTTTTTGTCTGACTTCCTGGCAGTGGGTGGGCTGACAGCATCACTGCATTTTACAGGCGTTAGGAGAGGGCTGCAGGGTTGAGACAGAACGAGTGGGAGGAGGTGAGTGTTTGAATGAGGCCGAGAGTTTTAAGGCACTTGTTGTGTTTGTGTGCATACCTCCAAGCAAGCACAAGAAACCAGGGCATTCACAATTTCGCATCCCCATTACTTTTCCCAGCCCTCAAGTGCCCCAGATGGGAGTTACTCTATTTGCTGTGTTAGAGGCAGCCCTTTCTGGGACACAAGGTCCTGACTGTGTAGTACTCACCAGTTCTCGTTGTTGATCTGGTCCCCAAATCCTGGGGTGTCAATCACAGTCAGCTTCATCTTGACACCACCTTCTTCAATGACTGGGGAAGAAATTACAAATGATCATACACCTCCTGGGGACTTGCTCCATCACGAAATACATCTCTGTGTCCTGCAAGGGAACGAGAGTACTCTGCGCTTACCCCTGCCCAGCAAGCGTGAACAGGCCAGGCTGGGTCACTGCATGCCTGGACAGCTGGGATTCCACCTCCGTTCCTTCCTCATTTTTTGATAACCTGTGCACTAAACCACTCTGTCACATGAAAATGGATTTGTGCTCAATCTATGGCCTAACGAGCTCTTGAGGATAATGGGAATTACCCACCCTACAGCAGTGCAGCTCTTACCGTGGCCAATGGCTTTGATCTCCACCGTCTTGGGGATCTTCTCCTCGCGGTTCCAGCCTGAAGATTTGCGGCTCACCTGGGATTTGAAGAGGGTGTTCACCAGCGTCGACTTCCCCAGCCCACTCTGACCTGAGGATTGCAAAGAAGAAGCTCATGACATCTGCCACAGCCCGGGGATGGGGAGGCCCAGAGGACGGAACGGGGCTGGCGAGAGAAAACTCTGGAGACATCTTCTTGCCTTGTGCCAGCTGCCCTTTGCTCCCACTGCAAGCACTGCCTGCTCCCTTGTGCCTCCCAATAGGGCTCGCGCTCCCACCTGGCCTTTTGGGAGAGTGTCCTGCCATGGTTCCCAGGACTTCAGTTGATCCCTGCCTACCTACAACCATGATGTTGAAGTCGAAACCTGTCTTCATGGTCTTCTTGCGCATCTGCTCAATGATGGTGTCAATCCCGATGTAGCCTAGCAAGTTGGCATTAATGCCCATTGGCTTCATTGGCACAGCTGGTTTTTGCCGTGGCTCTGGGACCAGTTCAGACATGGCTGCCTCGTTTTTGCTCTCCACTGGCCCTGCACAGGGAGAAAAAATGAAAAAAATAATCATTTGGGTGTAACAAAGGCCTGCTGCCTAGTCATGATGCGTTCCTCAAAGCGAACCTTGAAGTTTGCTTCAAGAACTGGTGGCTGAGTATGACTGAATGAAATGATTTTAGCAGTAAGAACCTTCATGGGGGAGCATCTAGAGTTTCTAGCATACTTTTCTATGTATCGCTCTAGTTTGAGAAGATTAAATATGGGGCTCTTGAAACACTGAACATACTAGTGGCTACCAGCAAATAACAGCAGCAGATCAGGCGCTGCTGTCTTCACTGCTAATCAGAAGTCATAAGGTCTGCCCATCTCCATTCTCTTTTTTTTTCTCCCCATTCTCACCAAGACCACCAATGTTTTACTCCCTTCAAGTTAAGCACGGGCCCTGAAATTTGCAATGGAATAGACTTCCCTTTCAAAATGATCATGTGTCGAACCCTGGCATCAAAACAGAGCTTGGAATTTAACGTGAGGCGTTGCAAGCTTGGCCACACCAGAGAGAAGAGCCTCTGTGTCCTACGGGAGCCTGTGCTACTCACTGTGCTATGTGCTCTGAGGTCTTTGGAGGAAGGCAGGGGTGGAACAACCTCTGATTTTGCCTCCTACCTGTAGATCAGAAGTTTCTGTCATGTCTGCCAAGGAATTTTGCAGCTTCACCTTTCATTCCTCACTTTTTCCTCCTTGTTTCTTCTACGTAAAACAAACCAGTAAAAGGGAAGGCCCGTGTGGTTTCTGGTCTTCCTACCCCTCCTTATCAGGTAAGGGCACACTCGGCTTGGATCAGGCCTCACCTGCTTATCGCTGCCTCCTGTTTTTCTCATTAGCAAGCATCTCCTGACCACCCTGGGGAGAAGCTGGGTGTCGGGAGAGGACAGGACACGCAAGAAAAGTCGCAGTTGGTGGGGAAGGGAGGCTTGAGGATTGAATCCAGAAAATAAGATAAAGGGGATGGGAGCCAAATACCTTCAATATATGAAACAGCTGCAGACTAGAGCCTCTCCCACTCCAATCACTTGGCTCCTCCATGCTTTGTCTCATTAGATGGTTATTTTTTCAGGACAAGGACAGCTTGCTTGGTAAGCACTTTACTATTTTGGTTACCACTTCGGTTCAAGTAACCCACACTGAATTATTCCTTTTAATCTTTTTTCTTTTTTTTTTTTTCTCCTCTCAGCAGAATCCACTGGCTGCAGAGTGGCAAGCAAGTGGCCAGACAGACAACTGTCATTTGGTATCTGAGAGGCCACTTGGAGCGGGGAACAGGTCAGAGGTGGCAGAGGTAGGGACACTGTCAGCACCAGCCTGGGACACTGGTGGCAGCTCAGCCAGATCACACAGAGACAGAGAGGAGGGCAGAGGGGTTTTGTTCAAGGACGGAGTTAGTCTGCCTGGGCAGCTGGTGTTCCAGCCCAGCATTTCCATGTCAAAGCTTTGATGCAGACATGAAGGGCTGCTCTACATAGGGAAAAAATTATGTTTTACATAAGCTTTAATATCCCAAGATGTTACAGAACTTGCAGAAGGGCCACCCTTAGCAAGGAGAAAGGTGCCTGTGCACAGCTCATTTTGCTTTAGAAAGTGTTTTATGTTAAACTGGGAGAAGTGTCTCCTCAGGAGGGCTGTGTTGCCCAGCAGCACAGCCGCCCATGCAGGGCACAGCCAGTGATCTCCTGAGGGTATCGGCTTCGCACCCGCTGCGTTTCCCCGTGCTCAGGGGACAGACCTGCCCAGAGGATGTCCCCTCTCTTTCCCATGGAGCAGGTGCACTCTTAGCTGTCACCACCTTCTCCTGAAGCACTGAGCATCAGCCGGTGGGGGCACAGCACAAGCTGGACTGATGGCCTGAGCCAAGCTGGCCAACGTGAGCTCCGTATGCCAGCGGGGAGCTGTACGGTGAGGCAGGCTGCTGAGCTGAGTGCTCCTCAGCTGTGATCTGCTTGTCCACACGTCACAACTAGTCTGTGCCTTTCCTGCTG